TCCAGAGAGCTTCCAGTACATTCTCTCCAGCCCGCTTTGTTTCTTCTTTTGTTCTTTCTAGCCTGGTTTTGGGGGAGAGAGCAGGAACTTCAGCAGGTAAGACGACAGCCACTTCCTGCTTCTGCCTCTCAAATGCTCACCTGGGCGAGCACCAAGTTTTTCTGGACTCTGATTTTATACTAGTCCCCACTGCCTATCACACCATAAACACAACAGGCTCTGGAAAATTCTCCCCCAAATCTACAAGTTGCACAGTACATGGGACACAGCAGGTGCTCGATGGACTCAAATTAGTGAATTACCTCTGCCCTCCCCTAGGTAATCACAGAGGATCTCTAAGTTCCTCACAAGGAAACCCTAGGAATCAAACTGGACAGTTAGAGCAGCAAATTCCTTTTCCCAACGATGCCCCCTACCAAGTCCAGCCCTTGTCTGTTCTGCAGAGGCCGAGAGGCAAAGGCAGAAGGAGCTGGAAATGCAGTTGGCAGAAGAGGAGAAGCGCCTGATGGCAATGGCTGAGGAAGAACGGCTGGACTACCTGAGGCGCAAACAGGAGGCAGAGGAGCAGGCCGCGCGGGAGGCCGAGCAGAGGCGGCTGAAGGAGGAAGTGGCAAGGCTGGCTTCGGAGGAGGCCCTGCAACAGGCCCAGGAACATGCCAGGTACTAGGCACTTGGGGTGCCTATTTAGGGTTTAGTAGCCTGGGCACAGCCCTTTAGACAAGCAGCCTCCCCACTCCCCACAGGCATGGTTTGCTGCAGACATCACAAGTTCCTTCGCGGTGTGGAGAACTTGCCTTGGCACTTTAGAGCTCATTTAGCTCAGTCTTCTGGTTTCCAGATGAGAAAAGCCAAGTCCCAAGACAGGATTTGGATGAGGGCCAAAGGGAGAATTGGGGGCACCCCACAACTAGACCTTAAGACACCACAATTCCAAACCCACTGTTCCTCAAAGTATTGTGTACCATGGGCCAAGCACTGCTAGCTTCTGGGAACTCCAGAGTGAGCAAGACAACGTCTCTTCGCCCATGGTGTCTATATTCAGGGAGCGGGCATGGACAGATGCTCATTATTCTTCAGCTAGCAACAACGAAATACTACACAGAAAATTTAAAACATGCAATAGGGTAATAGAAACTTATTTTAGACTGGTTTGTCACAGCAAGACCTCTCAGAAGAGGTGTTACATAATGAACTCCTTGAAGGATACGGAGCTAGCCCCATAAATATCAAGAGAAAAGCGCTCCAGCAAATGGAGTGCACAGGTTCAAAGAAGTGACACTAGCATGTTCAAAGGATCAGCCAGCAAGGCAGGGAATGAAGTGATCAAGGCACAGGAACTGTGTCCACCTGTGGTCAGGAAGGTCGGACTAGATCTAAGGACGCCTTGTTAGAATACACGGGACCGACACCTTCCTCCCCCTCCTCCTACAAAGTCATTGCATTTTTTTCCATGAACAGAATTTTAGTCACTTGGTCTCTACTGACCCTCTAAACACTAGGGCCTCTGCAACTGTTATACTGGGAAATTGCCCTCCTCGGTGAAAGCAAAGGACAGCCATTCCCTTTCAGAACCATCAAAACTGAAGGGTCAGAAGGTACAAGCCCAGGGGTGGGGAGCGAGGATTCCAACCTTCACCATAAACACGTTTTCCCATAAAATGTGCTTTCCACAACATAAACAATCTAAGAGGATACTCATTAGGCGACTAGGAAAAGGCTACCAGAACAACTCTGCTACAGTTTATCACTACCCAGAGTTGTTCCTCAGCTGTTGAGTACCACAAAATGGATTATCAAAATATTAATTTCAGAATTACACAATCCATGTCCTGTAGCAAGCTATCAAGAGGTCTCCCTTTTACTTAAAAAAAAAAAAAAAAAAAAAAAAAAAGCCACTTTAGTGAAAACTGACCAGAAAAGCAAGGACATAAAAGCAGAGGCAAAGCCTGATACAGCCTGATTTGACTGAGGAATGGAAGCTGGTGGCAACTGGCCTTACTGCCTCCTGTGTGACAGGAGTCCAGATATGCCAGGCTGCTCAGCCAGGGCGCCTGCCACCCTAACAATGTCAGCTTTGGTTTTCACAAGGCTCATGACAATCAATGCATCTTTTGTGAAGTTACTAAATGAAGAGTACAATCCTTCACTAAAACCAAAGAACCACTGGCCCAGTCTGATGAGCACTCAAACCAAACTCCCGGTTTATAACAATTTCTAGGTTGCTTACCCATGCTGGTAACTGGGGTGGTTCTCTCCTCAGACAAAGAGCTGCTTTGGAGAAACGTCGTCTTTTCCATCAAGAACTCCAGAAGGAAGCCAGTGGCCTGCAGTGGACACACAACATCTCTCGACCCTGGGTTTACTCTTACTTCCAGTTCCTACAAATGCCCAGACCTTAAGACTAGCAGAAAACAGAAAAAGTAAGTGGGGACATACTTGCTTTATAATCAGATTCTGTCCTGGGCCCAGTCTGGTTCACCTCAACCCACAGCTAAGATGTTCTCTGCTTTGTAACCTCCTTTCCCACCACCTCTCCAGTACCACGCTTCAACAGTCACTTCTTCACTCAATCCTTTGCTTTTTAGAAACACATAAATAGGTGCCTAAAACTGCCCATGACTTCATAATTCGCTTTAAGCAGTAAGATGGTCTCAGGATATTCAAGGTGTTTCACTTTCATGTGTCTGAATAAGCTAAAAGTAGCATTTTAAAGGCAAACAGTAATTTTCAATTTGCTGAGAGGAAGTGATTCATACTCGTTTATTCGCATAACATTTATTGTAAATCTCTTTATAAAGCAAAACTAAGCCATTTCATTCTAAGAATCTAAGATTTAATGTCTATTTAAAACAAAGTGTTTATAAATCCCTTGATGAACAGAGTTGCTTCATGAGATTCATGTCCTCAGACTGCAGAGCAGCGTTGGGAAGATACCTGAACAGTCACATGTAGCTAAACAGTCTGTCGCACTAGCCACTTTTTAGTGCTCAATGGCCAGACATAGTTGGCAACTACTATATAACAGAGACTTGCATTAGCAAAGTTCTATGGGACTGAATTATTCTGGAGCCCTGAAAATTAATTTCTTTTTTTGTACCTTCCTGTGCCTTGAAGAATCAGTGATTCATATAATTTCCCCATCTAGGGGTGAACATTTGGTACAGTAGTTAAGACACTGTGTGGGACACTCATGTGTCAAACTGGAATGCCCAGTTTGAGTCTCAGCTCCTCCACTTCTGCCCAGCCTCCTGCGAGTGTACAATCTGAAAGGGAGCTGATGTCTCAGGTACTTGACCTCCTGTCACCCATGAGAACCATGTGGAGTTCTGGGGTGTTGGCTTCAGCCTGGCCCAGCCCTGGCTGTGCCAGTTATTTGGGGAAGTGAAGTAGGAGGCAGAAGATCTTGCTCCCTGCCTTTCAAATGAAAAGAGGACCAAAAGAGTGTTAAATAAGATAAAATAACTGAGCCTAAATTCTCCTTTGGCATTACTGTACTTCTTTATTCTCCACAGCTAAGAAGCCGACAGGTAATCTGCTCTAACTTTTCAATAATATTCACAGGCATTTACTTTCTAAAGATCTGCTACAACCCAGAAATTGTACTTATTTTGGATTCTCTACTGCTATTATTAGACCTGCTTAGATCTGATGCTTACTTTAACTCCTTGTTTTTAGGTAAGATGAAGTAGAAATAAAATGAAAATACACAAAATGCTAGGTATCAATCCTGGTGAATTTAAATACACAACTTCAACCTTTTCAAGCTTGCCAACCCTACTGGAACATTCATTCAATAGTACTTCATCAGATAAGAAAAGAGCAGCTCAAACAACCCAAGAACAGAATAAGCAAAGAAAACATCCTTGTGGGGAAAATTACCATTATTCACTTTATTTTCTCCCTCCTATTACAATCTCAGATGTTCTAGTCAAGGACGAGAGAAAGTAGCTATGCCAAATGTTACTCGAGGTCTTTCCAATCAGATACCCAGCAGTACATTTTTGCCATGAAACTCCTGTTTTATGAGCTCTATAATACCTGATAAGCATTTGTAAGGCAAACATAGCAGGGTGCAATGCAATCTGAAGAATGAAAAACTAAAAACGACTCCCCAGAACTTAAGTAAGTGCCACCACCTAAATGCTAACAGCCTTCATACACTTACAGTCCCAAACAGAATTAAAGCTAGCAATTCATGCAATGTGGATTAACTCAACTAGCCAGTGTGGTTTGTTATTCAATCTCTCAACAGAAGTACACAACTCAAAAGGGTTTTTTTTAAAAAACGGACCTAATTCCTAATCACTAGAAAAGAATATAATTGCCAGTTTGAAGCTTAATTTATACAACTAATTTTTCAACTACAGTCAAACATAAGAATGTATAACATTGAGTGAATCGGATTTTCAGCAGGTGACTTGAATAGCTGTAAGTTTGTAAAATGCTTTCAAAATATGTTCAAGGTCAATTCTCTAAAGTACTCTGCTGACATTCTATTAGGAGTAAAATGAGCTGAGTTATGTCTGTATAGGTATACTGAACTTGATTCATGAAAGTTAAGAGGAAAAAATCAAGTCCTCTGATAAGAACAGACTAATGTGTGGCATTTTAATTTCACAGTGTTTAGATATTTGACATAAAGAAAAGGAAAATAAAACATACCAAACCTTAACTAAACAGAATGTCTTACAACTGCTGAACTGAAATAACCAATATGAATCAATTTTTCGTGTGTCCATTTATTCAATACGATTGAGTAACTATTCCATACATGTACCATATAGGAATATCAAGTTGTTAAACAGAACTCTGAGTATTTTGAAAAGGTATTGTGGCCTTAATTAAATCCTTGGTTGAGAAGGCACTTCAGTAACTTTCAGTGCTTCAGAGTTATTAACACCACTGTACAGTACTGGAGAAAATCCTATGTGCAAACAATTTCCAGTATTATACAAGAAAACCTTTTCTGTTCTTTTCAATTAAAATAAAATAAGCAATAGTACGGTTTTTACAAATATTGTTTATTTTAATGAAGCTGGTACAGACAACGTCCATTTAAAACCCATATCCCAGGCCAAAAAGTACAAATAAAATCAAAAGGAGCAGTGTTCTGTTGTACGCACTTCCGCATGAATAATTTTTTATTATCTGGTTATGAAAACCAGAACTTTTCTGGGATCTTCTGACAAGGTTTTTTTTTTTTGAATCTTAAAATGCTTTCTCTTCAAGTGATGCCATCTTTGGAGTTAGTCATTTCTTTCACCAAATCTGTCATCTTGACTCCAATCTGATCATCTTTTGGTCCAGATCCTCAGATTTTTAAAAGTAGCTTCAAGTTAAAGGTCATTTTTCCACAGTTCCATTCTCTGAAAAACTTCCATCTCCCACTGAAAGTCACAGTCCAGGAGTGAAGCCATCACCTGGCAGAATCTCAGGGCCAATTAGGAACACTGGCGTGGGTCGCTCTTACTTAACCCCACAAGCCTGAAATGCACAGTCCTGAAGGAGGAGGCCTCTGTGTACACTGATTTTACAACAGCGGGCCCGAGGGAGGGGCTAAGGCTTGATCACCCAAGATCAGCACAAAGGAAACAATGAGCAGTGAGCACTAAAATTCAAATTACCAGATGTTTGAGAGAGATGGGGTGCCAGTTTTCAATGCCATTTTGAACACATTACAAAAGAACTATTTTTAAAAATAAAAAAGGATTAAGGGAAAAGCAAAAAAATAAAAATTATCTAAATCGTTGAATGACCACCTGTTTGTTCCTGATAAACTTCAATCACATCTTCTTCCTCCATTCCCAGCTGTAAGAGGAAAGAGAAATGAGTAAATATAAAAACATTTAAATATTCACATTTAATATTTTTAAATGAGCTCTAACTAGGTAGCCACCATTTTAAAAGCACTGAGGTGCAAATGTGACCCACAGTTACACCCGGAAGATTTGAGCTTTTCTTAAAAGATTTTCAAGATCTGGCTTCCTAATTCTGTGTACTCACTCCTCTTTACTCACCTGAATCCATGTGACTGCCATATTCATTTGCTGTACACAACTGAAGTGTCTTTGACAAGTATATTAAAGTTGGAAATCTAATGAAAATCAATCGCTGAATGCTTTGGTTTTTAAAACACATTTTACTTTTAAAAGCATTTAAGTTTTTGTCTCCTTCCTCAAAAAAGAGACCCTCTCATTGGTTCTCTCCCAAATGGCTCTGATGTCCAGAGCTGGGCAGATCCAAAATCAGGAGCCAAGAGTTTCTTTGAGATCATCCACATGGGTGCAGGGGCCCAAGGACTTGAGCCATCCTCCGCAGCTTTCCTAGGCCTTTAGCAGGGAGGTGGATCAGAAGCAGAACAGCCAGGAATCGATTTGGTGCCTGTATGATATGCCAGTACCACAGGTGGAACATTAGCCTACTATAACAAGATACCCAGCACCCGAAGTGTCCTTACTTGACAGAATACCATCTCTATTAAAAAAAAAAATTAAAATGTGATTTATAAAAACAGGGTCCTGGGCCTGGCACGGTGGCGCATGTGGTTAAGGTCCTTGCCTTGCACGCCCGGGATCCCATATGGGCTCCGGTTCTAGTCCTGGCAGTCCCGCTTCCCTTCCAGCTCCCTGCCTGTGGCCTGGGAAAGCAGTCGAGGACGGCCCAAAGCTTTGGGACCCTGCACCCGCGTGGGAGACCCGGAAGAGGCTCCTGGCTTCGGATCGGCATAGTATCAGCCGTTGCGGCTCACTTGGGGAGTGAATCATTGGACAGAAGATCTTCCTCTCTGTATATCCACCTTTCCAATAAAAAAAATAATAAAAATAAATCTTAAAAAAAAAATAAAATTCCTTCCTTTGGGGCCATCACTATGGTATAACAAATTAAGTTTTCACCTACAGTGCTATATTCCACATGGCCACCGGTTCTAACCCCAGCTGCTTCATTTCCAATCCAGCTCCTTGAATATAGCCTGGGGAAACAGCAAATAATGGCCCAACTGCTTGGGCCCCTGAACCCACATGGGGGACCCAGCAGAAGCTCCTGGCTTCAGACTGGCCCACCCCCTGGCAACCTTTTGGAAAATGATCAAATAGATGGAAGATTTCTCTATATCTCCCTCTTGCTATAGCTGTACCTCTTTCAAATTTTGAAAATAAACTTAGTGCTCATTAAAAAATACTTGGGGGACCCGCGGCGTGGTCTAGTGACTAAGTCCTTGCCTTGAATGCACTGGGATCCCATATGGGCACCGGTTCTAATCCCGGCAGCTCCACTTCCCATCCAGCTCCCTGCTTGTGGCCGGGGAAAGCAGTTAAGGACGGCCCAAAGCCTTGGACCCTGCACCCATGTGGGAGACCTGGAGGAGATTCCTGGCTCCTGGCTTGGATCAGCACAGCACTGGCCATTGTGCTCACTTGGAGAGTGAATCATCGGACGGAAGATCTTCCTCTCTACCTCTCCTCCTCTCTGAATATCTGACTTTGTAATAAAAATAAATCTTTAAAAAAAAAAGGATTGGGATGAAGAGAAAAATAAACACACACACATACAATAAGCCAAAGTAGCAAAGTGTTACATAGGTGGATCTGTGGAAAATACATGCATAACTTCTGTACTGCTGCAACTTTTCCATAAGTTGGAAAATTTCCATTAAAACCAAACATTAGAACAGAGTGATTTGAAAGGGCCACAACTGACCAATACCTTGAAGGTATTCAGACAATTTAAACAATAACAAGGGATACAGTGGATAAAGCGATTATCACCTTCACCAAGTATCCAAAGTTAACACTGGCCATAACAAGACAGACGGACATCCTGTACCCTCAGATGTGGTGATACTCAGAAGTACAGAACTTCCTGGGGGCAAGTGTAAGACAGCTTGGGACGCCTGCACCTCACAAGAAACCAGGGCTTCAAGTTCTGCCTCCTGCTACAGGCACGTCCTAGGAGGCCACACACCATGGGCCAAGCAAGATTTATTTATTTTTATTGGAAAGGCAGATAAACAGAGAGGAGGAGAGACAGAGAAGATGACCTTCCATCCTATGGTTCACTCCCCAAGCAGCCGCAATAGCTGGAGCTGAACCAATCCGAAGCTAGGAACCAGGAGCTCCTCCGGGTCTCCCATGCGGGTGCAGGGTCCCAAGGCTTTGGGCCATCCTAGACTGCTTTCCCAGGCCACAGGCAGGGAGCTGGATGGGAAGTGGGGCCCCTGGGACTAGAACCGGCGCTCATATGGGATCCTGGCGCATGCGAAGTGAGGGCTCCAACCTTTACGCCATTGTACCAGGCCCTCTATAAAAGGGCAGGTATGGGGTTAGGCACCGGAAACCTGAGGTTCCACATCAGTTCCATATCAAAGAGGCCACAGAGGTACAATGAATGGTCAGAATGCATATTTTGGGTGAGTCTGGTTAAAACATGGATAAAATCTACCTTAATTTGCTATCCAGTAATACTGTGTCTCTGTTAAAAATATAACTGAGCTATTGTTAGGAGATAATGTAGAAATGTTTAGGGTCACATCTGCAATGCTCAGCGGTGATGACGACACAGATCACAGCACATATGTGATGAACCCAACGAAAAGGTATACAGAATACAACACTAGTCTCAAAATTCAGTAAATCTGAAATGCTTTCTAAGTAAATCATCCCCACATTCAGAATGTTATTTTGTATAAGGTGGAATCTACGTACACACACACATACATACACATTTTACTTCAAGATGCCTCTATTTAGCGACAGGAGTTGGGATATATAAGAAAACAGGTTATGCACAATAAAACAATTGAAGACACAAAAAGACACTGGGCTCCCGCTACCCTTATCAGAGACCTGGATTAAGTTCTCAGCGCAGCCTAACTGCAACCAGAGATCCTGATGGCATTCAGGAGTGAAGTAGCAGCCAGGAACTCTCCTCTATGTCTGTCTGTCTGTCTCACTCAATTTTTAAAAATTTATTTACCCAGGCCTGGTGGCGTGGCCTAGCAGCTAAAGTCCTCGCCTTGCATGCACCAGGATCCCATATGGGCGCCGGTTCTAATCCCAGTGGCCCCGCTTCCCTTCCAGCTCCCTGCCTGAGGTCTGGGAAAGCAGTCAAGGATGGCCCAAAGCTTTAGGACCCTGCACCCACGTGGGAGACCCGGAAGAGGTTCCTGGCTCCCGGCTTCAGATCACACAGCACTGGCCGTCGCACTCACTTGGGAAGTGAATCATCAGACAGAAAATCTTCCTATCTGTCTCTCCTCCTCTCTGTTTATCTGACTTTGTAATAAAAATAAATAAAATCTTAAAGAAAAAAATTTATTTACCTGAAAAGTCAAGAATTATCAAGAGTGAGAAAGACAGAGAGGGAGACACAGACATTGCACCTGCTGGTTCACTCCCCAAAGGGTCAAAATGACCAAAGCTGGGTCAGTCCAAAGCTGAGGGCCAGAGCTTCTTCCAGGTCTGCCATTTGGGGGTACTGAGGCCCCAGGACTTGGGCCATCCTTCACTACATTCTCAGGCCACTTGGCAGAGAGCTGCATCAGAAGCAAAATAGCAAGGACTCAAACTGGCATGCATGTGGGAGGCTGGATGCCAGTTTAAAAAGTATAGGGCCAGCGCTATTCTACAGATAAATCCACTACTCACAATTTCAACATTCTAAACGGGCACCAATTTGGGTCTCAGCTGTCCTGCTTCCTATCCAGCTCCCCAATGGACCTGGGAAGGTAGCAGAGGATGGCCCAAGTGCTTGGGCCCTGGCACAACCCACACAGGAGACCAGAAGAAGCTCTAGGCTTCCACCTGACTGGGCAGGCCGTTGTGGCCATTTGGGGGGTGAATCACTGGATGGAAGTTCTTTCTCATTATCTCTGTAACTTAGCCTTTCAAATAAGTAAATAAATCAACAAATAAATAAGAAATGTAGTATGTGCCCTACAAGACAACTTAAGTACTCTATTCCCAGCTTTCACCTCTTTTTATTGACACTTTGAAAGTATTCTGTAAGTTCAATCCCCAAGATTTATCTTCCCTCTGGCAAATAAAGTACCAAACTGTTAAAAAGAAACTTAAAATCTTCCTAATTCAGAAAGAAATTATACTCACTTCTTTTGGAGTATGATTATCAGCAATTCTCTGACCTTCGAAGAGAAACCTGAGTGAATTCATTGGAACTCCCTAAAATGGGTTAAAAAAAAAAGTATACAAATATTATAACAGGAACTTTGAGGCACAAAAAATAAGCATGAAAGCTTTACACAGAACATTAGACAACTGATGCTATCATACTTACCATATCCTGAGCACCAACTGTTTGCTAAGCTACCTTGGTACCAAGTATTTTACCATAATCACTGACATTCAGGACAATGCTAGGAGGCAGCATCGCCTTATCTTTATAGCTAAAGAATCCGAAGCTTGAAAAAAACACACAAGCTAGTCAAGAATTTAAGCCCCAATCTCCTCCTAAGCCTGTGTTCTTGATCACTACTCTACATTCATTTCCTCCTAAAGCTTGTGATCTGACAAGAAACACGGTGGCACAGCCAGTTGTACTATCACCTGCAAAGTCACTATCTCCTATCAGAGCGCCTGTTCAAGTCCCTGCTGCTCTGCTTCTGATCGAGCTCCCAGCCAACAGATGTGGGAAGGCAGCAGAAGTTGGCCCATAATTTGGATCTCACTGCCTCTAGAGGAAGATGTGGATGGCATTACTGGCTACTACCATCAAACCATGTGGAAAGTTAACCAACAGATCTCTTTCTGGGCCTGGTGTAATGGCTCAATGGCTAAATCCTCACTTGCAAACGCTGGGATCCCATATAGGTGCTGGTTCATGTTCCAGCAGCCCTAGCTCCCATCCAGCTCCCTGCTTATGGCCTAGGAAAGCAGCAGAGGATGGTCCAAAGCCTTGGGACCCTGCACTCGCATGGGAGACACAGAAGAAACTCCTGGCTCTTAGCTTTGGATTGGCTCTGCTCAGCCCAGGTCATTGCGTCCACAGAGGGACTGAACCAGCGGATGCAATATGTTTCTATCTTTCCTTTTCTCCATAAATCTGATCTGCTTTTCCAATGGAAATAAATCTTCAAAAAAAATTATTTGTTTCTCTTTTTATTTTGACCTTCAAATAAAGTGTATTTAAATAAAGTTTTTACAAAAACCAATTTCTAAAATACAATGGCAGAATTACAGGTTAGCATGGTGGCATAATGGATCATACCACTCCCTTGATACTAGTCTAGTATCCCATATGGGTGCTGGTTTATGTCTAGGTACTCCACTTTGATCTAGCTCCCTGCTAGTGCACCTGGGAAAGTAAAAGATGAACAAGGGAGTGGGCTCTTACATCCGAGAGAGAGATCTTTGATCTGTTGGTTTGTTTGCTAGATGGACATAATCAGGAGCCTCACCTGCCATCTCTCAAGTGGGTGCAGGGACCCTATCCCTGGGCCACCTTCTGTTGCTTTTGCTAGGCCATTAAGCAGGAACCTGAATGAGACGTGGAGCAGCTGGGACACAAACAGGTATCTATACGGGATGCCATTGTCTCAGCAGCTAATTTACACTCTGCTTAATGTCAGCCACTAGATATTTATGTGCAACTTTTCAATATTCCACTCAAATACATAGTTTAAATTTTTCTATTCCTTATATATCATTAAATCAAAGAAAAACTGATATTTGTAGAAAAAGAATATTTCTAAAGACTAATGCATACATTCTGAAGCATACAAAGATACTTAGAAGAGACTCTACAGGGCCTGGCGCAGTAACCTAGTGGCTAAAGTTCTCGCCTTCTTTGCACTGGAATCCCACATGGACACCAGTTCTAATCCTTGCTGCTCCACTTCATCTAGCTCCTTGCTTGTAGCCTGGGAAAGCAGCAGAGGATGCCCAAAGGCTTAGAACCCTGCCACTGCATGGAAGTTCTAGAAGTTCCTGGCTCCTGGCTTCAGATTGGAGCTCAGCTTTGGCCACTGCAGCAGCATGGGGAATGAACCAGTGGATCTTTCTCTCTGTATATTTGCCTTTCCAATAAAAGTAATTTTTTTAAAGATTTATTTATTTTTATTGGAAAGGCAGGTTTATAGAGAAGAGAGTGTCACAGAGAAGATCTTCAGTACGATGATTCACTCCCCAAGTGAGTGTAACGGCTGGAGCTGCGCATATCCAAAGGAAGGAGCACAAAGCCTCTTCCAGGTCTCCCACACAGATGCAGGGTCCCAATGCTTTGGGCTGTCCTCCACTGCTTCCCCAGGTCACCAACAGGGAGCTGGATGGGACGCTCAGAGCTATCGGGATATGAACCAGCACCCATATAGAATCCCAGTGCATTCAAGGCAAGGACTTTAACCACTGGGCTATCATGCAGGGTCCAACAAGTAAATTTTTTAAAATGTGATTATACATTAACAAGACTAAACCGATAGTTTAATTCTTTCCCCAAAACAAGAGCCTTCAATTTAAGGTAGCTTTGTGGTTTAGCTCTTTACTTCACACTGTTTCTCTTCAACAGTCAGTTCTCTATTTACAGAGTGAAAAGACTGCATCAATTTTCTTTACAGTTTGAAGGATTAAAATAATGTATTTCAAGTACGTACAACATAATGCATACAATGAGTACATGTTCCTTTCCATAGGTGAAGTTCCTCTCAGTTTTAGCACCCATCAAAATTATTACTAATCTGAATTGGCTGAGTCTCATTTAACGAGATTTTACTGAGTTTAACAATTAAAATCCACATAAAGAGACAAAACTGTGACATAACACTAAAAAACACTTTCTTCTGACAAAAATTACTTTGTATTAACAAATTTCAACAAAAAAGCAAACCTTCTAAACTTATGAAACCTATAATACATTAATATCATGTGAAATAATTTAAATCATGATTTCACCTAAAAAAATATTTATAGTTATATAAAATTTGTTCCAACTACACTTATTTCTAAAATCTACCTTATGATAATGATGATAATGGGTGCTATTCACTGAGCACGGCTGGGCAGCAGGCAGAGCTTTACACAGGCTATTGCATTTCATCTCTAAGACATAGTGCTAACACAATATTAATATTTTATTAACAAGAACCCAAAGCACATACTCGTTAAGTAACTTGCCCATCACAATAATGCAGTCCAAACTTACACAGATTAAAGAATTAGTTACTGGCCAAATCACCTAGTACATGAAATCACAGAATCTGTGAGGATTTGATGTTAAAAAATTAACAAGATTTTCTTAAGAAATTTCTTTAAACAGAGAAAATTCCCAGTTTTGCCAAATGCAATTAGCAGTCACAGGTACTATTGTGCATAAAGACAACCTGCTAATAATATCAGTACCTAAATTTAACGATGACTGAACACCCACAGTTGGAAGCACAGGGAAATTTCAAGTAATCCCCAACAAGTATTCGCCTTTAGTTTTATAGACACTAGAAAGACATCAAGATGGAAACATTCACTTGAGATGTCTTGGCAACTTGGATTATTCTTCAAATTAGTTCCACATCTTAAGAATTCAAACTTTGAATCAGGCCTCAAAAGAAAAAAGGCAATTAAATAGAAGAAATGATAAAATCAGGGTATTTTCTTGACTTGCTAATGGTGAAAATAAAAGGACCTTTTTTTGGACAACCGTCAGTAAAAGAGAAATGTGTAACAAAACACTTTATTTAAAAATCACAATACACACACCTGTCTTTGACAGTATGATTCTTTGAGTTTCTTGAGATGTGTTGTCATTTTCACTTTGAAGTGAATCTCACTGCTGTCCTAAGGGGACAAGAGGGAAATAATTATCCTCCTTTGCATAAACTATTTGCTTTGGTGGAGCGAAATTTAATTACACATATATAGAGCAATGAGAAACATAAAGCTTAAAAAAAAACCATAAACCTTGATATCTATATTTTTCCACCAAAACATGCCTAACATTTCGAACATTATAATAAGTGTATAAATATTAATTATTATTATTACTCAGCGGCAGGCATCATGGCACAACAGGTGAGCTACCCTGCAGGACTATCCACATCAGCGCGCCACGTGAGTTTCAGCTCCTCCGCAGGTTCCCGTCCAGCCTCCTGCTAAATGTACCCTTAGAAGCAAGAGATGATGGGCCCGAGTGCCTGGGCCCCTACACGCAGGTGAGAGACCTGATGGAGGGTCTGGCTCCTGGCTTCCAGACGCTTTGTAGGCACTTAGGGAGTAAACCAACAAACATTCAACTCTCTCTCCCTACCCTGTGTCTATCCCTCAAATAGCTAAAAGTAAACTTTTTAAAGACACGAATCATTTTCAAAGTGGCTCTTACCTATTACAAAAAAAAAAAATTAACAAAGATATTATCTTAGGTATTAAAATTATCAATACAAGTAAAAAGTCTGTACGTCAAGGAACGCATCCTTCCTTACTGCACACCTATTCTATCTGTCAAAAGATGAACTATCACAGACTCCAAACAGCAACCCCAAAACGAAAAGTACTCCCTCCCAGTGAGGTATCGGAGACACAGGCCACTAGCCGAGGGGGAAACACTCCTCCCGTAACAGTAAAACGAACAACCACACGACTCTGACCAGCTCATCTGGAGGGCCACAGACTGCTTTCCTCTACCTGCCTGCCTAGCAAATCACAGCACATATATATCTATACACAAAATGCACTGGCATGCTATATAATTTCACCCTTACAGATATAGATCATGTTTACAAATCTATATTAGCAGAAATGTCATGGCTTAAAATTTTTTTTTTAAATGGGAAAGTCAGATATATAGAGAGGGAGAGAGACAGAGAGGCCATCCATCCACTGATTGCACTCCCCAAGTGGCCACGTCGGCCAGAGCCGAGCCAAGCCGAGCCGAAGCCAGAAGCTTCTTATGGGTCTCCCACGTGGGTGCAGAGTCCCAAGGCTCTAGGCCATCCTTGACTGCTTTCCTAACCCACAAGCAGGGAGCTGGATGGGAAGCAGGGCTGCCAGGATTAGAACCGGCAACCATATGGGATTCTAGTGTGTGAGAGAACTGTAGCCACTAGGCTATCATGCTGGGCCCAGCTTAGAACTTACTTAAAGAAAGAAAAATCTTTTTTTCCCCCAAAGGCAGAGTTAGAGAGAGAGAGATCTTCCATCCACTGGTTCACTCCCTAAATGTCACAATAGCCGAAGATGAGCCAATCCAATGCCAGGAGTCTCTTCGGAGTCTCCCACATGTATACAGGGGAACAAGGACTTGAGCCATCTTTTGATCCAGGGAGCTCAATCAGAAGTGGAGCAGGTGGGATTTTAACTGGTGCCAACATGGGATGCTGGCACCACAAGTGCTTAGCCTACTATGCCACAGCACTAGCCCCAGAAAATCTTTTATTTTATTTGTTTTTAAAGATCTATTTATTTTTATTGTAAAGACAGATTCAGAGAGAGAAGGAGAGACAGAGATTTTCCAACCACTGGCTTATTCCACAATTGGCTGCAACAGCTGGAGCTGAGCCAATCTGAAGCCAGGAGCCAGGGCTTTTTCCACATATCCCCTTTGCAGGCACAGGGATCCAAGTCTGTGGGTCATCCTCTACTGCTTTCTCAGGTCACAACCAGGAAGCTAGATGGGAAGTGGAAGCTAGATGAAATGCAAAAGCAAACAGCAAACAACATGAACCTGCACCTATATGGGATCCCGGTGGTTGCAAGGCAAGATTTTCACCACTAGGCTATCGTACCAGGTCCATAAACAAAAATTCTATTTTTAAATAACTTGACTTTCTTCAAAATTTAACATTTCTTTTATTTGAAATAAAGAAAGAGAAAGAGGCTGACTCTAAGAGAGATCTTGTATCTATAGGTTCATTTCCCATATGTTGCTAACAGTCCCCAACCGGGCCAGGCCAAAGCCAGCAGAGACCCAAACATCTGAGCCATCACCACTCCCAGCCAGATGCTTTAGCCAAAGCAGGCACTCCAGCAGTTCACCATCTCTACAACATCCTCCCAACTTGTCCAAATCCTCTGAAAGATAAAGCATTATCTTTCCTATGCACGAGAGATTATTCATTCTTTGGAGAGGCAAAGAAAAATAATAAAACTCACCTGTCCAATGACTTTGAGTTTAATATATTCTCCTTCCTTCTTATCCCCTAAGTCCTCAGTTGAAGGTTTTGCCTCCTAAAAAAAACAAAAGTACATTTCAACATAAAACTTCCTATATTTTAATTACTAAAGTTATAAATATCTATTATTTTCCCTCATAATGCAAAAATCCCTGAGAATACCAAGAGCCTTATTTTCCCTACCAGTCAAGCAAAAGATGGCCTACAAAGTACTATCCCATCACACTTCAACAGCAACCAAGAAAGGGATGTCTTGGTCATATTCGGCAGGAACGGTCTGATTTTTACCATGCATCAAAATCACCTGCGCAACTTGTTAAAACAAACAAAAAAAGTGCTGTGCCCCACCTCATGTTTTAGTCACTAGGTCTGGTGTAGAGCTGACAATTTGTTCCTAACAAGTTCCCAGGTGGTGCGGAAGCTTTCTGGACATGGTTGTCTTACAGTCAGTCCCCACCATGAGTCTTAGCCACACCTAAAGGCATCACTTTCTTCTCACTGCCTATCCTGAGTCAACAGTTAAAAGAAACTGTACCGGCAAGTACAAATTAAAAATATTTGCACAAATAAAGGCTATTTGGAAAACAAAAGCAAACAGCAAACTACTGACCTAATGCTCAAGTCAAACAGTTTTATATTATCTATTCTTTTTTCAAACTACTCATTTATTTATGTGGGAGAGAGAATAACAGACAGGGAGAGATGGAGACATGGAAGGGATTTCCCACCTGCTGACTCACTCCCTAAACACCCAGAGAGCTGGGAACAGGCTGAAGCCACAGCTACAAACTCCATCCAAGTCTCCTACCTAGGAGGCAGGACCTCTCCTGGGCCATCATCTGCCGCCTCCAAGGCACTGAGCAGGGAGCTGGAGCAGAAGCAGAGAGGCAGGATCAAGCCAGCACTGTGACATGTGATGGGGGCCCTCGGAGCAGCAGCTTGGTTCAGTGCACAACAAGGCCTGCCCCTTTCCCTATTACTTTTTTTTTAAGATTTATTTATTTTTATTGCAAAGTCAGATATATAGAGAGGAAGAGAGACAGAGAGGAAGATCTTCCATCCGATGATTCACTCCCCAAGCAGCCACAACAGCCAGAGTTGAGCCAATCCGAAGCCAGGAGCCAAGAGCTTCCTCCAGGTCTCCCACGCAGGTGCAGGGTCTCAAGGCTCTATGCCATCCTTGAGTGCTTTCTCAGGTGACAAGCTGGGAGCGGATGAGAAGTGGAGCCTCTGGGATTAGAACCGGCACCCGTATGGGATCCTAGCAGGTTCAAGGCAAGGACTTTAGCTGCCAGGACACTGTGCCAGGACCCCCCTATTACTTTTAAACTATGTGAGGTACATATTCAAGATTAGAAGTTAAGGCTTGGCTGGGAAAAAATTAAGGGAACTGTGTTAGAATCAGGGAAAAAAGCATACCCTGACAAGCAGGAAGAGGGAGACTGCAGGGAGAGACAGAAAATCAAGAAAAGGAGGCTACAAAATAATTCAAATAAAGGAATTTTGAAAGCAAAATTAATAACTACAGAGTCCAAAACTTCACCATGAAGTATCTCAGTAAAAACAGAAGTACCTTGAACAATCTCCCAAAAATGTGGTAAAAACAGCTTTTCCAACAAGTACTCCATATACTTTTATTATTCAGACTTCATAAGAATATAACCATACTGTATTTTACAAGTAAAATAAGCCATTACTTATTTATCTCATACCAGTGACTTAAAATTACTAAGCTTTATTATCATCATTATTACTATATTGTAAAGGCAGATTTACAGAGAGGAAACAAAGATCTTCCATTCCCTGGTTCACTCCCCAAATGGCCACAACTACTACAGCCAAGCTTATCTGAAGCCAGGAGGCCCATTGGGGTTCCCATGCAGGTGCAGGGTCTCAAGGCTTTAGACCATCCTTCTCTGCTTTCCTAGGCCACAAAGCAGGGTGCTGGATCAGAAAGTGGAGCAGTCAGAACATGAAATAGCACCCATATGGGATACTGGTGCTTGAAGGTGGAAGATTAGCCAAGTAAGCCAGTGCAAAGTCCTTTAAACATTTTAATATTTAAAAATTATCAGGAGACGGTGCAGTGACCTAGCAGCTAAAGTCCTCGCCTTGAATGTGCTGGGATCCCTTATGGGCGCCAGTTCTAATCCCAGTGGCCCTGCTTCCCATCCAGCTCCCTGCTTGTGACCTGGGAAAGCAGTACAAGACAGCCCAAAGTCTTTGGACCCTACACCTGTGTGGGAGACCTGGGGGAGGTTCCTGGATCCTGGCTTCAGATCAGCGCAGCACCAGCCGTTGCAGTCACTTAGGGAGTGAATCACTGGTCAGAAGATCTTCCTCTCCGTCTCTCCTCCTCTCTGTATATCTGATTTTGCAATAAAACTAAAACAAATCTTTATTATAGGTACAGACAAAATGAACTTTCACTGAGACAGTATTTCACCTGAAAACCAGTATTTCACCAGAAAACTGTCTTCAAACATAATCTCACCACTACATTTCTATTCATTTATATTCATAATGTATAGCTGTTGCTGCTTTTTATGATCTAGAGAGCGAGACAGCTTATTCCGGACAGTGAATGGCAGTAAACAGCAGCCAAGCTGGGAGTCCTGCATGACTGGAAGGGGCAGGTGGGGGGATCGCTTTGTGGAAGCATCCTTGCAGCAATCCATCTACAGCTACAGGGGTGATTCTACTGCTGTGCTCCTAGACAGGGTAGCTATAGCATCTACTCAGAACAGAAACAATGCTCTCCCCTCCCCAATCTAACACCCACAGCATTTCAGAACCCTCCTTCCAAAGTACAGCTTTTCTGATCAAAGCACACATGGGGGCCCAGAGTGGTAGCCTAGCGGATAAAGTCTTCTCCTTGCAAACACTGGGATCCCATATGGGTGCCAGTTCATACACCAGCCACCCTGCTTCCCATCCAGCTCCCTGCTTGTGGCCTGGGAAAGCAGTCGAGGACGGCCCAAAGCCTTGGGACCCTGCACCCCTGAGGGAGACGTGGAGGAAGCTCCGGGCTCCTGGCTTCTTATCAGCACAGCTCCAGCCACTGCAGCTGCCTGGGGAGTGAAACAGTCAATGGAAGATCTTTCTCTGTCTCTCCTCCTTTCTGTAAATCTGCCTTTCCAATAAAAATAAACAAACCATAAAACACACAGTCTTCACCATCCAGCAGCCATTTCCTCCAACAACACTAAAAGTCTCGTTTTCTTCTCACTATTCACTTCACAAACCCAAGAATTCTGTTAAACCAGACCATTTGCTGTTTTGCAGACATGTCCATTAGCATCCTTCCAGTACAGGTGCTTTTATACCTCAGTTACCTAGAACACAATATCCTCTCTCTCACCCTCTCCTGAAACCACCTCAGGGGTATCTATTCCAAACTTAAATGAAATCCAATACTTTCAAGAACTATTCTATAACTGCAACACTCCACAACCTTTCAAATAAAACTAGTATTATTACAGCTGACACGATGCCTCAACGGCTAAATCCTCACCTGGCAAGTGCCAGGATCCCCTATGGGTGCCGGTTCATGTCCCAGCTGCTCCATTCCCATCCTACTCCATGCCTGAGGCCTGGAAAAGCAGAAGGGGATAACTCAAGGCCTTGGCACCCTGAATCCCTGTGGGAGACCTGGAAGAGGCTCCTAGCTTCTGATCAACTCAGCTCCAACCATTACAGCCATTGGGGAGTGAATCAGTGAATGAAAGAGTTCTCTGTCTTTCCTTTTCTCTGTAAATCTGCCTCTCTAAAAAAAAAAAAATTAAAATACATATATATAGATATACATATAGCCTTAAAACTAGTGTGGTGGCTTAGTAGGCTAATTTTCCATCTTCAAGGCCAGCATCCAACCTGGGTACTGGTTCTATAGCTCTGGCTGTTCCACTTCCAATCCAGTTCCCTGATAATGGCCTGAGAAAGCAGGAGGATGGCCCAACAGCCCATTGCCGTGGGTCCCTGTACCCACCTGAGAGACTCAGAGGAAGCCTCTGGCTTTGGACCGGCCCAGCTCTGACAGTTGTGGCCATGTGGGAAGTGAAGCAGCAGATGGAAGATGAACTGATGCAATTCTCACTTTACCTCCCCCCCTCCCTTCCCCTCTCTGTAAAATTTTAAAAATAAAAAAATTTACATGTATGGCCTTAATGCACTGATATCATCCTCACTTCCACTCCCAATCCACTGGTTTATGCCCCATTTCACTTAATTTTCACTTGACATTGCTCTCACGAAGGGTTCCCAGTTGGGACTCCCTATTGTTAAACCAAACTGACACTTTCAAGTATCTCTCTAAAACGACACTAATAACTTCTGGAAAACGCTTTACCTTTGACTTACAAATTTCATTTTCTCCTAAGTCCTTAAATGCTGGTCATCTCCTGAACCCCATGTCTCCAGCCTCTCTCTCTCATTTCCCCAGGTGGGTTAAGCTATTGTTTTAAGGACTCCTCAGCTACTAACAACTCAAAATTCTTCTCTCCAACCTGACTTCTCTGAGTTACCTACTCATTTATCCAAGTTCCCAAATTATCTACACCCAGATATCACAATGTTAACATGTCCAAAGATAAATGCATTTTTTAAAGATTTATTTATTTTTATTGGAAAGGCAGATATACAGAAAGGAGGAGAGACAGAGGGGAAGATTTTCTATCTGATGGTTCACTCCTCAAGTAACCACAATGGCCGGAGCTGTGCCGATCCAAAGCCAGGAGTCAGGAACTCTTCTTGGTCTCCCACACAGGTGCAGGGTCTCAAGGCTTTGGGCCATCCTTGACTACTTTCCCAGGCCACAAGCAGGGAGCTGGATGGGAAGTGGAGCCGTCGGGATTAGAACTGGCGACCATATGGGATCCTGACATGTGCAAAGAAAGGACTTTTAACCACTACGCTATCACGCCAGGTCCAATAAATGCATTATTTTTAAGCTCCTGTTGCTTTAATCTTCTTCCCAAAAACCAAAATGAAAACAAATGGTAACTCTTTAATTCCCACTTACTGTAAATGCTTACCACATACTCAGCTGCCCCAAAC